ACTCCCGTAAAGATTTACACCCTCGGAAACCCTGTACAGGGTCGCTATGGGTCGGAACCGACTCGATGGCACTTAACAACAACAACAACAACTATCAATAAGGAGTTCTGGTGTGGCGCTGTAGGATAAACACTGGACTGCAAAGTCGGTTTGAACCGCACAAATAGCGGATGAAACTCACTAGCTGCTCCTCAGAAACCTTACTCTATACAGGGTTGCTAAGTTGCAAGTGACTTGACAATATGTACCAACAATAATCGTTGTGTGAATGGTCAAAATATACCAAGGGAAGAAAACACCTCATTTAAACATTGCCTGCACCTTCTATATGTTGTCTACATTTTTTCCTTTAAAAAAATTTTATGTACCCCTCTTACAGTAAATAAACTTCAAAGTATACAAACTTAATGTAAATAAAATGAACACTTCATGAACAGCAGTAGAATATTGTTAGACAGCACTAGAATATTGACTTTTGAAACATGATGAAGAGCACCTATTGTCAGACATAGTATCCACAGATGAGCTCTGCATATTGGAATGCACTCAAAATATGTCTAGGAAAGAGCTGCCTCCTCAAAGTGGAATTGAGCATGATGACACAAATACAGTACAGGCTTCAAGTCCTTCATTTGCTTATGGAGCACAACTCAAAACACGGAGAAATAGCTATAAACAGCTGTAATAATTACAACGTGAAATGCACTAAGTATGAATCTAAGAACATTGGAAACTGTCAAAATAAAATGGAATGTATAAATATCGATATCCTAGGCATTAGGTAGCTAAAATGGACTGGTATTAGTCATTTTCAATCTGACAATCACATGGTTTACTACACTAGGAATGACAATGGAAGAGGAATGGCATCACATTCATCATCAAAGAACACACCAAGTACAACACTGTCTACGGTAGGATAATATCCATACGCCTGCAAGGAAAACCAGTTAATACCTCTTTTATTCAAATTTATGCAACAACCATTAAAGCCAGTGAGGTTGAAATTAAAGAATTCTACCAACTTCTTTGGAGTTCTGATGTAGCACTGTGGGCTAATGTGCTGGACTGCAAAGTTGTTTGAACCACAAGGTCAATGGTTCGAGCTCACCAGCCGCTCCTTGGAAACCCTATACAGGGTCGCTATGGGTTAGAAATGACTCCACAGCACTTAACAACAACCAACTTCTTCAGTCTGAAATTGATCAAAATGCAATCAAGATGTATTGATCATTACTGGTGATTGGAATGCAAAGGTTAGAAACAAAGAGGAAGCATTAGTAATTGGAAAATATGACCTTGGTGATAGAAATGATGCTGGAGATCACATGACATTATTTTGCAAGACCAAGTATTTCATTGGAAATAGCTTTTTTAAACAAAATAAAAAACAACTTCGACTACACACATGGACCTCACCAGATGGAATAAATACAAAACAAATGGACTACATCTGTGGATAGAGATGGTAGAAAAGCTACATATCATCAACTCAAACGAGAACACAGGCAAACTATAGAACATATCATCAATTACTGATATGCAAGTTCAGACTGAAGCTGAAGAAATCAAAACAAGTCCACAACAACCTTGAACATATCTCACCTGAATTTAGATATAATTTCAAGAACAGATTTGATGCATTAGGCACTAATGACAGAAACAGAAGAGTTGTGGGAAGAGATCAAGAACATCATACATGAAGAAAAGGCCAAAATGGATGCCAGTAGAGATTCTGAAACTTGTTCTCCAGCGTAGATGCTATAGCAGATGGAAGAGGGTGGGTCTTGATGGTGACTAGGGTGGAGGTGCAGTGAAGCTTACAAGCTTTCAAGAGGGAACCTAGAGCCAGGGGGCATGGAGGAAGGCAGAATCTCCAGTGAGTAGTATCCAATTTGTCTGGGCGGAGTTGATGAAATGAAATGCAGATGGGTCTCTTGTGATACAATAGTGAATAATTGTTATCAGGACTGATTGTGAGGGTTGGAAATGTAAAGGTAGCAGGAAGGGAGTGATTAACTTTCCAGTCTAGGAGCGGAGGTCCCTAGGACCATCAACGGAGAAGAGCAGAGAGCGGGACCCTACCCAGAGAAGCAGTGATGCCTGAGATGGAGGCAGAGACGATGACGTGGAGCGATGGAGCAGCTGGGGACTTGAGATCCAGAGAGGGAGAGCGACTGTGTGCTGAAGACTGGGGGGAGGGGAGTAGTGTAGGGGGCATGCTTTCAGGGTATACCCTTTGGTTGGTTGATGATGCATTGAGGGGATTGTAACCATGGCAATGAAACAATTTACGATAGAATGAATGTAAAACTAATGCTTTCCCATGTAAACTATAATTTAATCCACAATAAAAAAAATGTAAAACAGAAAAAAGAAATGGTTGTATATGATCAAAAGGTAGCATATGATCAAGAGGTAGCATATGATCAAAAGCCAATGATGTTGAAGACAGAAGTCCAAGGTGCACTGAAGGCAAAGAACAAGGTTCCAGGAATTGATGAAATAAAAACTGCAATCTTTCAACAAACTGATGTGGCACTGTAGACATTCACTCATCTATGCATGACATTTGGAAGACAGCTACCTGGCAAATTTATTAGAAGAGATAGGTATATTATCCATTTCTAAGAGACCTGACTCAACAGAATATAGAAATCAGCCATTGCATGCAAGTAAAATTTTGCTAAAGATAATTCAAAAACAGCTGCAACAGTATATTGACATTGTACTGCCAAAGACTCAAACAAGTTTTCAACGAGGACGTGGAATGAGGGATATCATTGCTAATGGCACATGAATCTTGGCTGAAAGCAGAAAATACCTGAAAAATATTTACCTATGCTTTACTGACTGTGCAGTGATTTTTGACTGTGTGGATCATGACAAGCTATGGACAACAGTACAAAGAATGAGTATTCTGGAACAGCTAACTGTGCTCATAAAGAACCTGTACACAACCAAGTCGCAGTTGTTTGAACAGAATAAAGGAACATTGAATCATTTAAAATTAGGAAACGTATTAACCGAGGTTGTATTTGCTCACCATACTTATTCAATTAATAAACTGAGCAAATAATTTAAGAAGCTGGATTATGTAAAGAACGTGGCATCAGGATTGGAGGAAGATTCATTAACAACCTATTATATGCAGATGATGCAACCTTGCTTGCTGAAAATGAGGGCTTAAAATATTTACTGATGAAGATCAGCCTTCTTTATGGGTTGTACCTCAATATAAATAAAACAAAAATCCTCACAACTGGACCTCACAAATAACATCATGATAAATGGAGCAAAGATTGAATACAAAGACTTCATTTTGCTCAGATCAATCATCAACAGTCATGGAAGCAGCAGTCAAGAAATCAAGCAACGTATTGCACTAGGCAAATCTGCTGCACAAAACCTCTTTAAAGTGGCAGTTTGAGGACTAATGTGTGCCTGACCCAAGTCATGGTATTTTCAATAACCTCACATGCATGTGAAATTTGGACAATGAATAAAGAAGACCATAGAAGAATTGATACATTTGAGTTATGGTATTGGAGGAAAATATTAAAAGTACTAAGGACTGCCAAACAACAGCAAACAGATCTGTGTTGGAAGAAGTACAGCCAACATGCTCCTTGGAAGACAGGATGGCCAGACTTTGTCTTTCATACTTCAGCAGCAGCAGCAATGGGCTCAAGCATAGTAACAAGTAAGACTGTCAAAGGACCAGGTAGTGTTTCGTTCAATTGTGCACAGGATCGCTATTAGTCAGTGACAACTCTGTGGCACTTAACAACTTAAAGTAAATGTACCATTCTCCTTGAGGGTTGCTCTTTCCATTTAATTCTGCTGTACCTCAATGTGTCTGGCACACAGGAAGTGCCCTTAATAAATTGTGGGTTTATTAATAAATGAGTATGTAAAATATTTCAATCATCAATTGCAAGATGCTAAACTCTGATCGGAAGGGAAGATCATAGAAGAATTGATGCCTTTGAGTTGTGGTGTTGGAGGAGAATACTGAAAGTGCCGTGGACTGCCAAAAGAACCAATAGATCTGTTTTGGAAGAAGTGCAGCCAGAGTGCTCCTTGGAGGCCAAGATGACAAAGCTT